CCGGCAGGGTTACCCTGAATGGAACGGAAGACTATGCGACCCCGGCGATCATCAAGAAAATAGTGGGTGACAACTGGTTAGTAACAACACAAAACATGGAACTGGGCCTCCGACCCATAAAGATTTTCGCAATTAGTCGTGAGATAATCAACTATTTTGTATCGGAGGACCACTTTATTGGTTACCCGGGGCGAATCATTCGCCCCGAAATGATGAGCACGGATGAGATCGAATCAAAGAAACGAACCGACGCACATGCCTTGGACTGCCGAATTCGCGCGGCTGTTGAGACAGACGACATTATAGAAACATGGGCCCACAACATGCGCAGGAAAGTACAGAATGACGTCCGTCGCCACGGTGCTGTAATACAAGAGGCCATAACTTGGCTACAGGATAAGTATCCTGACCCCGGTACCGATCTTCAGGACAAGGAAGATGGTCCTTTCCGCACTGCATGCGGTCTATATGGCGTCGCTGCAGCAACTGCTGCCAGAAGTATATTGCAATTTATGAACGGCAGGGATAATGACCCTGTGCACGACGGCGAAGCCGAGATCGTGGGGCCACGTGTGCCTGCTGGACCAAAGGCAAGACCTTTGTCTCGCATGCCGTCTCTTCGACCTGGCATCTTAGATGCTCAGGCGTCCGAGGAGGCCACTGGTTCTCCACGTTCTGTCGCCGGCACAGCCGTGCCGACCAGAGACGCTAACCTACAAGATCCCAACACGAGGGATCGGTCGGATTTGCGACGCGCGCGCGATGCAGCCATGGATGATGCCTCTGCCGCGGCCGCCGATGATGCCGCCGGCATTGCGCTGCCCGCGGCTGCGGACGCTGCCACAGGCGCTGCCTCGGATGCTGCCAGCAGCGCCGCAGGACACGGCTCCACATACGACCCCGACCAGTCCTACCCGACCCACGTGAATGGAATCCTTGTTGGATATCACCTCCATCGGAACAGGATCACGTGGCTTAATAATGATGAATGGTACAATTTGCCTTACTGGACCTGGCTGTCAAAGTGGGGGCATAATCATCATTTCCCGCCGAGAGAGGCGACACAGGTTGGAAATAATGACAGAGAGAGAGGGCGATCTCGCACGCCTCGTGGTATGGACGTACAGACGGGAGGATCGGCGACTTCAAACCCGCCGCCTCCGGCGCCGCCAAGGCGAGAGAGTTCGTCGAATCCGTGGGGGGGCCTCAACTGAGTGCGGCCCGCGTGACTCCGTCCGCGGCATGCGCACACCAAACACTTTACCCACACGCTAAGCGTGCTGGGCGCGGACCTCTCTACTGGTCGGCTAAGCCGGTCCAGCGGAGAGAAACCATTTATATCTATAGTGGGAAACGTCGAGCCTCTTCGGCCCTTGGCCCCCTGGCAGCCACCGTTGAGCCGTAAAAGTTTTTTGGGGTTGGCTCCGGTGGTTGTGCACATGTACAGGCCGGGGGCGCTGTGGCTGGATGGGCTCTACGCGGCCCGCCGCGGGGGGAGTAAATATGCTCCTCTCCGCCTCATACTCAATTAGAACATAACTTAGATTGCATGCAATGAACTGTCCGCGTGAACTGATGCTGCGTTTCTGCAACTGTGTAACTACTCAAACCAGCCGACCTCGGCTGGCAGGAGAGAAAAGGAGCGCGCTGGGGCGCGCGGGCGATTCGTCGTCGTCCGTCCTCGGCCTTCCTCCTCCCTTCCAATTCCCGATAGAGTGGTTTAGCTTAACGGATACCTGTCTTATCAATGTCTCATCCCGCCTCCGCTCTCCCTGAGCAGAGTGAACATGAAATCTTACTTCCTTTGTCATCTTACCCCGATTCTCAGAGGAAAGACTGAAGAAGAGGCAGCAGCAGTAGCAAAAGTAACTGGGGGGGAGGACGACGAAGTGGGGAAGATCGGATCGGATCGGCAGTGAGCGAAGGCAGGATCACTCCCTGTCAGCTGGGCGTGGAGGAGGAAAAGGAGGAGGAGGAGGATGCACGAGCGCCCGAGTGAAGGACGCGAGAGCTGAAGCCGAGCTGTGCCCAAGCATTGCGGCATTTAGGCTGGCATGTTTTTTTTTCGGCTTTGGTCACGCGCCCGCGAGGGTTCACAGAATGCCTCACGAGACGATTCTGGCGCCGGGCTGGGCGCCGAGGCCGCAGAGTGCGGTTATCAGATTCTGGCCTTGTGCGCCCAATAAAGGACTCAAGGGGAACGAGCATCGCTGCACGAGGAGGAAAGCCCACAGCAGGGCTTGATTTGGCATTGATTGTCTGCGCCCTCCTACACACTTTTGATTCGCAGGTCGAGAGCGCACCTCTTCCGGTCGAAGCTAAGCGGGCCGCGCGAAGCTTGAATTAACAAAGAGGGGGGGACAGAAGGAGAGGCCTCGCGTCAAGGCCAGGAGGAGGCAAAGCCTCGGGATCAGCCCTCGTACACACAGGAAAGCGGCTGAGACATCGTGATGACAACCAGCTGTGTAGCCAAGCTGAGCTCAGCCAGTGTGTGTTCCAGCATGACTCACCAAGCGCGTTCCACTACTCGCAGAGTGCCTACTCGCAAACGTCCGAACAAAAAACATGTCTTCCTTCATGTAATGGATCGTAGATATCCCGCGGCGGATCCAGGCCATTTGCGAGTAGTTACTTTTGCCTGTAGTGGAGCGCGCTTGTCGAATGACGGCGCCTCCAACCACAAGGAGTTCGGCCACCATCCAACACGACCCGGTCCATGACCACTCGCCGTGAGTCCGACCAGCGTGAGTCTGCGAGTGGGGGAGGGGGAGGAGGGGGAGGAGGGGGAGGAGGAGGAGGAGGAGGAGGAGGAGGAGGAGGAGGAGGAGGAGGAGGAGGACGACACGAAGGAAGAGAACGACGAGAAGGAGGAGAACGACGAGGAGGAGGAGTAGGAGGACGAGGAGGAGGAGGAGGAGGACGACGACGAGGAGGAGGAGTAGGAGGACGAGGAGGACGACGAGGAGGAGGAGGAGGAGATCGCGGTGCACCGCCTTCGACCCTTTCGAGCCCAACCAGCAACGTCAAAGCTGGCCAGGATCGACGCGCTGTTGCCAACCGCGAGGGCCACCCTTGGAGGCTCCAGCTGGGCCGGTGGCTTCAGGTCTCGGGAGCTCGGCAGCAGAGGGCCGTTCGGCCAACCAGCAGAGCTTCTCTGCACGAGCGATCACACGGCCATGGAGAGCAAGAGAGAAGCAGGGAGAGGAGGTTGAGGATTGTTGGAAAGAGGAGGAGGAGGAGGAGGAGAAGAAGAAGAGGAGGAGGCGAAGGAGATGAGGAGGGAGGGAGGGAGGAAGAGAGAGAGAGAGAAGGAGGGAGGGAGGAAGAGATAGAGGGGGAAGGTGAGGGGGAAGGTTGGGGGAGGGATGAGGAGAGGAAAGAGGAGGAAGAGGATGAGCAGCAGCAATAGCCAGAGGATCATAGTCACCTCACCCACCCGAGTACACGATGTTTTCACGCCACGCCAGCACTTGGAGTGTATTTAGCATGGTATTTGACACAAGCCTTTCCATTCATCTTCTGTGGGCGTATGGTGAACGCGACGATGTCATATGCAGTGCGTTTCAGGATCGGAGTGGCGCGCGGTCAGCACGACTGCAGATGTTGTGGCTTTACACGCTGCAATGAGCTCTGGCCACCTCTCGCACGGTCGCCTCGCATGGTTGTCTGTCCGCACGGCTAAGGAATATCCCCGGGCAGGAGTGAATCAGGATAGGGAGGAGGCCACGTCACTGTGGCTTCGGTGTGGGGGGGGGCTGGACGCGCAGCTCTCTACGTGATCTTCCTCACGATCGCTATGGTCGTGGAAGCCGAGGAACCCGACGACCTGATGGTAAAGCACTAACACTAAGGCAGGGGGAGCAGCTCATCGGGCTCCCGCTCCTTGCTCTCGCGCCCTTGCCCAGCTCTGCACCCCGCCAGCACGCATGGATCCGCGCGCTGCCCTCGCCAGCCTTGCAGTCAAGCGACGGAGAGGCTAGATGGGCCATAGGAAAACTCAGGCCTGATGCAATCTCGTATGGGGAGGGGAGAAGGCATCCGACCGGTAAACGCTTGGAGAGCCAAGAGTTGGTCAATTCAGTCCAGATGAAATCTCGCATGAAGAGGGGGAAGGCATCGGACCAGCAGACCCTTAGCGAGCCAAGACTTGTCTGTAGCACTGGGTTCACTGCACCCTTGCCTCAGCCCCACGCACAAGCTCCCGGAGCGGAACGGCGTGAACGGTGCCTTCATACCGCCTCCTCGTCCTCCTCCTTCTCATCCTCCTCCTCCTCCTTTTCCTCCTCCTCCTTCTCCTCCTCCTCGTCCTCCGCCTCCTCCTTCTCCTCTCGTCCCTCCCTCACCTCCTCCGTCCCTCCCTTCCTCCCTCCCCCCTGTTCTTCCATTCATACCCCCCTCAATCTCTTTCGCCCCTCCCTCCCCCGACGTGCTCTCCCTCTCTCCTCGCTCCCTCCCCTCCCCCCCATCCCTCCCTCTCTGCTCCCTTCCGTTCATCCGCCCCTCAATCTTTTCCTCCAACCCCCCTACCCTCAACATTTTCTCCTTCTGTCCCCAACCTCCGCACACACAAATGCATAGATATACAGGCATATATATACAACGAGAGAGAGAGAGAGAGAGAAACAAAAAAAAATGCTGTTGGTGCAGTTTTGAGTGTATATACATATATAAACCAGGCAGTCTATGAAGCGCAATGTGGTGTCAGCTACTACGTATGTGGTGCCTGCCAGTGGACGAGGATAGCACGAGGCGCGCACGGGCGCCCACCGACCGAAAACAAGGCAGCGCAGGCAAGCGCACTGGGTGGGCACGCGGCGGGCATAGGCGAGAACGTGGCAGCAGAGGCCAAGGACATTGAATACACAAAAACACCTAAGCAAAAACAAATAAAAACAAAGAAAGGGCGTCGCCAGGGCAGCGGCGCGAGAGCGCGAAGGCTATCGCGCGGCGCGAGCCGCGAGGCGCGAAGCTTCGTGGCCTGACCGGCCCTGTCCGGCGAGGCCGCCGGTCGACGCGGGCCGCGGCGGCGGGGCCATGGACGCCGTGGAGGCGCCGGCCGCCCGCGCGCCGTCCGCGCCGTCGGCGGGCGCCGCAGCAGGCGGGCTGCGGGGCGGCCTGGCGCTGGAGGACTGCGCCGAGGATCGGCACGATAGGAGAATTGAGCACGAAGACCGGCTCGCCATGGGGAAGGGGTCCCGAGGGAACCGGGGTCCTGAGGTCTGTCGCCGTTTTGGGCTGCCCTGGGTGCCCCACGGGCCCCAGGCTGACTGATGATTGGCATGTTTTCCACCACCACCACCAGAAGTTGAAGCGGGGGGTCCTCCTCATCCTCCTCCCCCTCCTCCTCCTCCCACTCCTCCTCCTCCTCCTCCTCCTCCTCCTCTTCGTCCTCCTCCTCGCCCTCCTCCTCCTTCCCCCTCCAACTTATGGTGGTGGTGGTGGAAAACAGGCTCATCAGACTGACTGAAGCCGTGCATCCCTAGCGGACGCGTGGGCAAAATGGGTGGAACAATCTATAACGGAATGTACAACTGCACAAGTACAGGAGGAAGGAGAAGGAGGAAAGAGGGAGGAGGGCATATTAGAGCAGTTTGTAAATTGACGTCGCCCATTATTGTCTCGGGCGGCCCCGGCGCCTGCGGAGGGCCCAATTCTGAGGGGCACCGTCGGCGTCGCACACTAGTTGTTTAATTAGGGAGGCGTCGTTTGGGGAAGCGATTTTCTTATGTAGGTCGACTTGCCGATCGCGTAAAATCGTGGACAGAGGCTTAGAACAGGCGTTGTCCAGCACAGTTGCGCTCGAAATCTTGCAAAAGAAAGAAGGCGGTATCCTCAGCATGTTTCTCGATCTCTTGCAGTGGAAGGCGTCCAACCTGTCGTTGTCCTTTTTAAGTGCCACAACGAATCAAGCGAGTACAACAGTTTGCTCAGCACGCAAGAAGAATAGATTTGAAGCTTTCGTTTCATTACAATACCAGAGTGGTTCCACACTTTACATACATCCTGAAATGTTGAGTTTGCTTCCCCAGTCGTTTTAGTAACTCGCTTCCAACGCGTCCATCCTCCATTACCAATACTCCCAACAATACTCCCAACTAAACAGCTTGTTCCACGACGTTCATCGGCTTCCCGCCCGGGTTCTTGACACATTCGCCAGTATATATTTGCACCTGCACATTGTTATCCCGATTGAGCTCGAGGCCGTACTTCTTCCCTTCCAACAATTATAGTTTCCAGCATGCGTTGTAAACTGTCGGCGCTCAGGGATATCAGCGCAGTGTCGTCTGCATACAACACGTCTTGCAGACGACAGGGGCCCCAGGGCTGTCAGAAAACGGCTCAGGATGAAGAGCTCGCCCTTAGCGAAGGCACCAGGGTCCAGGACCCGTTTCCCGCAGAACCCGCTTCCCCCATGCTGACCGACAGCAGTTCTTGCCCATCTTGAACGGGATTCAATGCGGGTGTCGCCGCGGACGTTGGCCACTGAAGGCGAGAAATCGCTTGCCCAGCAGCAGCCGCTGCCGATTTGGGGCAAGATTTGCGTCTGGGCATCGTGCCCAGCTTCTCTGTACCCATGTCTCTAGGCCTCCCAGATGGGGTCGGAGTAGGTGGGGTCGAAGGATCTCGACGCATCGCCGATGCATCGTCGATGCGGCTCGATGTGGAGCCCGCCCGATTTTCTCCACGCCGACGTCGCCGATGCATCGCCGATGTATCGGCGGTGCGGCGAGAACTCGGACCCCATCTCGGAGATTATCCGAAGAGAAGACCCGAGGACTTGGACGCCCAGAATGGATACGACAAACACAGGAACGATGCCTTATAACAAATGTTGTCCAAAACCGACAGCGGCCGTTGAGCCGTCTGTCCGACTCAAATGGGCAATCCGCGGGACCGACAACGAGTCCTGTTCAAAATGAATTGCTGTCGATCTATACTGGGTGCCCAGAGGAGCTGCAGGCGCTGAGGGCGGCGAGCGCCGAGCTGCAGGAGAGGTGCCTGGAGGGCCGGCAGGCCGCCACCAGGGCCTGCGCCCTCCTGCAGCGGGGCGACTTCGGCGGGGCCCGGGCCGCGCTGGCCGCCGCCAGGGCGGCCGTGCAGCCCGAGGCGCTGGCGTTCTGGGGCGACGCGCGGCGGCGGCAGGAAGCCTGCCAGGCCGCGGGGCTGGGCGGCTTCCTGCAGGCCTGCGCGGCGGGCTCCTGCTTCCTGGCCTTCCTGGAGCGGGGCGCGATCACGCCGAGCCCCTCGGCCTGCTGGGGCTCCGGCCTGGCCGACGTCGACGACGAGGCGTACCTCCTCGGCGTGGTCGACGCGGCGCGCGAGGTGGAGCGGTACGCCGTGAACCGCGGGCGGGCCTTGGACCTGGCCTCGGTGCAGCTCTGCGCCGGGGTGGTGCGCAGCTTGGAGCAGGCGATGATGCAGTTCGACCTGCGCAACGGCGACCTCCGGCGGAAATTCGACGGCATCAAGTACGTGGCGAAGAAGTTGGAGATTGTGGCTTACGAGGTCGACCTGGCCGGGAGACGCGCGAGTGCCGTCGCGCCCCCGCCGGCAGAGTCCGCGGCCGCAGCGGAGCCACCAGCGAAGCGAGCCAGGCAAGACCTGCCACCAGGCACGCAGGAGCAGGGTGCGGTGGACCTGGGCCTGCTGAGTGCCATCAAGCGTCGGTACGACCAGTACGACACGGTTAGGGAACAGGTCATAAAGCGTTCCCGCGACGTGCTCAAGAGTGCCAAGAATGCAGTGTTCGCGCTGCAGCGCGACGACTTCAAGAAGGCCGACGCCCTCATCCAGCAGTGCTCTGGGTATGCCACTGCGATCTTCGCAGACGCAGTGCAGGGCGCCCCCTCGCTGCGTGGGGGCGGATTTGCCGCCGCGTTGGAAGAGCTCGTGGAAGCGCTGCTGTACCGAGCATACCGGAAGGATCGGAGACTTCTGAGCAGGAAGGAGGTCCAGGAGGACAGCGGCCTATCGTTTGAGCTGTCGGTGGCCGAATACCTCGGCGGCCTCACCGACCTCACTGGCGAGGTGGTGCGCCTGGCTGTGCGCAGTGCCGGCAGGGGCCGGGAGGCCGTCGGGGATGTGGAGTTGGGCCTCGCGTGTGTGGACGCCGTGTACGCCGGCATTCAGTCGTTGCCCTTCTTGCCCGGCAGTCTGGGCAAGAAAGTCTGGCCCCTGAAGGCGTCTCTCCAGAAGATCGAGGGGGTTCTCTACGAGCTCGCGCTGCTGTCGGAGGGCGGCATCAGCGTCCGCGCACCGGCCTCGTCCGTCGAGCAGGGCTCTGGCGATGCCTGCTTGGACGAGCCAGGCTTAGCGGAAGAAGAACGGTAAAAAAGAAATGTTCCGCCGTCGGGGCACGCCTGTCCCAGAGCTGGAAAGTTTATAACCGCGCGTGCTGCCGTAGGGGTATGAATTGTCTGGCCGCCCTGGGACAGGCTAGCCGCCATGGGACGGGCTCCCCCGACGGCGGAAAAGTTTTACCCCCCCACCCACACAGTGCTTGCACGTATGGGGTCTTACCTGATCCCCAAACAGTATTTACATTTAGGGGGTTTCTTATTTCCCGTCTAAGGAAATGTGCCTAATTGTCGGTGTGGCGGCTATGTTGTCGCCGTCGCCGCCCCGTCGCCGCCTCGTCGCCGCCCTTCGTCTGGATTTGATTGTCGGTCTGGCGGCTGTGTTATCGCCGTCGCCGCCTCCTTGCCGCCCGTTGTCTGCACCTGATTGTCGGTTTGGCGGCTATATTGTCACCGTTGCCACCCCGTTGCCGCCGATGTTCTCTTTTCTACAAGAGATATAGACTCTCCCCCCCTGCCCCCCCAGGACTTCCCAGCACCCCTTCGCGCATTGCATTTTCATACTTATTCTGCACATTCGTCCATCCGAAATATGAATTCATACTATCCCAGCCAAACTGGTACCGCCCCCCCCCAATCCTCGACAGAACATATTATGCGCGCGCACTCGTTCTATCAAAAATCACAAGTTTCCCAAAACCCTTTGGTAACAAATTTGACGAAGTGCACTCGCGCGCGCGTCGTCGCGCGCGCATGCCGAAATCTTCAAAACCTTAGGTTCTGTAAGGATGTCAAAATCGAATGCCCCGAAAACAGATTAAAGCACATGGTCTCGCAACAAGAACTTCCAAAGAAAAATGCGCCCGCGTTTTGGCGAATTCGTACGAACAAAAAAAAACATAGGTTGTTTCTCGACATGTCCACAACATGCTACTAAACGGGCCTCTCGCGCGCGCACGTCGGAATCGTTCGAACGCCCCTGAGCGCGTGCTTTCGCAAGATTACCTTGCAAAAACGGAGAAAATTTCACGCCCACCGTCGGGCGCGCATGCCGAAATTTCTTACAAGCCTTGGGTTTCGCAGGGAATGCAAAATTGAGTGCCCCCGAAAACGTATTTCTATATCTCTATACATATACATATATATATATATAAAAAAAGCCAAAAAGGGTTATCAACATCAGTGTTCAAGAAGCCTGTGCTCGCGCTCCTGCGAACTCTCCTGCGAACTCTCACGCCGCATGTCGAAATCATTCGAACGCCCTTGCGCGCGTGCTGGGGGCGGGGGGGCACGATACGCTTCAAACAATTCCATGCGGGCCACTCTCGCGCGTCGGCCGCGCGCGAATGTCGAATTTCTCCCACACGTTCATCACCGACGCGAGGACGCCGTCATCGTCGCCGGCGTGATCATCATCGGCGCCGTCACTGGCTTTGCCGTCGTCGTTGTCATCGTCGCCACCAGCATCGTTACCATCATCATCTTGTTTACCGTTGTCGACGTTGCAATGACACCGCGCCCACGCAATTCGCCGATTCGCATTGAAGCGCCCGCTGGGAAGTACCCAACGGTCAGCGCCACCGCGACCGCGTCGGGCGCGCCAAACTAGCTGGCCTTTGTGCGCGCACGCATGCGCGGGATAGCGCGGCCGCAGAAATCCACCAGCCAACGCCAAGCACTCATCGCAATCGCCGCCGCATGCGTTTTGCAAGCCAAGTTGCGGGTGGGTGGGTGGGATGTTTGCAAGAGCATTGGGTGTGTCAACTCGTTTGTAAAATGTAAATGCACAAAAGAGATTCTCCTGTCTATGAGAGATATAGACTCGACCCACCTCCCCCCCCCAGACGTAACAGTACCCCTTCGCACATGGCGTGTTCATATTTACTCTGCACATTCATCAACCCTAAATATGAGCCCGTACTGTCCCAGCTAAACCGGTATCACCAAAAAGTGTTATGCGCGCACATATGTTTATCAACAATCTACACGTTCGAAAATCCTTTACGACAAATTAGACGAAGTGCGCACTCGCGTCGTCGCGCGTATGCCGCAATCGTTCAAAAAGCCGTAGGTTTCGTAAGGATGTCAACATCTAGTGCCCTTGGAACAGGCAAGAAGACATGGCTTCGCAGCAAGAAATTGCAACGGCAAAAAATGCACCCGCGTTCTTGCGAACAAAACAACCATTAGTTAACATGATCACGAAATGCTACCAAGCGTGCCTCGCGCGGGAGCACGTCGAAATCGTTCGGGCGCCCCTGTGCGCGTGTTGTCGCGAGAATATATTGCAACAAATGCGACGAGTTGCACACGCGCGCAAGCTTGCTTTCGCGTTCCTGCGGATCCTTCCCAAAGCCATAGGGGATTGCACATGTTCATACAATTATGCAAAACGGGCCTCTCGTGCCGCATGTCGAAATCATTCGGACGCCCTTGCGCGCGTGCTGGGGGGGGCACATTCCGTGTCAAATAATGCGATGCGAGCCGCTCTCGCGCGTCGGCCGCGCGCGCGTGTCGATCTCTTCCCAAAAGCTTCATCACCGGCGCGAGGACGCCGTCATCGTCGTCGGCGTGATCATCATCGGCGCCGTTACTGGCTTTGTCGCCGTCGTTGTCATCACAGTCACCAGCATCGCTACGATCATCCTCGTGTGTACCGTTGTCGACGTTGCCATGATACCGCGCCCGCCCAAGTTGCCGACTCGCAATGGGGTGCCCTCTGGGAAGGGCCGAGCGGCCAGCGCCACCGCGACCGCGTCCTGCGCGACAAACTAGTTGGCAGCTGCGCGCGCGAGCATGCGCAGGTTAGCGCGGCCGCAGAGATGCACCAGCCAACGCCATGCACTCATCGCAGTCGCCGCCGCACGGGTTTTGCAAACCACGTTGCGGGTGGGTGGGTGGGCGGGATGGTTGCGCGAGCAGTGGAGTGCGCGGCTCACTGCACCAAGAAATTACTTGCACATTATAGATTGCACTGCAAAGATTGCGCACCACAAAGGTTGCACCACACAGAATGCAAAACGTAGAGAGAACATGTGTTTCCTGTTGTAAAAATGAGTTGGGAGCTACCACCCGCCCACCTGGGGTTATCCGTTGTTGCGTTCGCCCGCGAATCCAGATATTATCCAGACCCCTCGTCCATCCCATATATGGATTGTTGGCACTTGATGTATCCCCACCAGCCAGTCCACAAACGATGCCCAGGCGAGTTGCGTTAATCAGGGAAGCGGAAGAGCATGCAGTGGATCAAGAGTTGGGGAAGCCGTCAAACTGAAGTCTTGGATCAGCCTGCGCAGACCCAAGAGCGAACCGTATGTGTCTTCGTGGACCTGCCGAATGAGGCAAGGCGGGGAAGGACGATAAGGATGAGGGGGGGGGAAAAGGAGGAGGAGGACGAGGAGGATAAAGTGGAGGAGGACGGGGAGAAGGGGAAGGTGGTGGGGGACGGGGAGGAGGGAGGAGGGAGAGAGAGAAATAGGCGGATGAAGAGGAGGAGGAGGAGGAGGAGGAGGAGGAGGAAGAGGAGCAGAAGGAGGAGGAGGAGGACAATGGCGAGCTTGGAGGATTCTTGGGGCGTCTTGGGGGCCTCTTGACGGTCCCGAGGGCCTCTTGCGTACCTCGAGGAGCCTCTTGTGGCCTCTTGGGGGACTCTTGGGAACCTCTTGGGCGCCTCTTGGGGATTCCTTGGCACCTCTTTGGGCCCTCTTGGGGCGCTCTTGGGAGGCGTGGGCACACTCTTGGAACCATCTTGGAGGGCATCGATAAAAGAAGGAAGGAGCTTGAATTAGCTTTGCCTTTCTAGAGTGCCTAGAATCGTCTCTTGGACCCCTCGTGGAGCGCTCTTGTGGCGCTCTTGGGCTCTCTTGGGGCCGTCTTGGGGCCCTCTCAGGCCTCTGTCCGGGCTCTCTGGAGCTCTCTTGGAGCTGTCTTGAGGCCCCGGAAAGCCATCAAAAGCAAAAAGGCGAGAAAGCAAAATTCATTGATTTTCCTTACACAGGTGTTTGAAGGGTTTGGGCCTCTTGGCGGCCTCCGTGAGACGCTCCGTGGCCGCCTGGAACCGTCTTGGAACGGTCTTGGGGCCTCTTGGAGCATCTTGGGTGCCATTTTGATGCATCTGAGCCATCTTGTGCCATGCAAGCCGTCTAGCTAACTCCCACCCGCCCTCCCAACACATAAGCAACACCCGAGCCTCAGCATGTTCAGCGGTCGTCTGTGGGGATGGACAGCTACTGGGAACCAAAACCGAGCCCATGTGCGGGACGCTTGGGCGAGGCGCGCCACGCGTGCCAGGCGCGCAACGCGCGCCAGGCACCCCTGGGGCCCGGGCGTGCCTGGCACGCTCGGTGCGCCAGATGCGTCACGTGCCTCCGCGTGCGCCAGGTGTGCCGCATACTCCAGCCGTGCCAGGTGCGCCACGGTTGGGGCTCGTGCAGAGTGTGTCAGGTGCGCCTGCGCACGTGGCAGTACCCATCGGGAAACATGTCGGCCCCCACCATTCTTGCCGAGAACCAATGCCCATCATTGTGTCTGATTGGCCTGCGCACAGCAGGCCATATGCCACCGCCCCGCCGTCCTTGTCCAAAACCACTTGACAATGATCGTGGGGTGGCCGCGCACGATCCAGATTTAGCCGCGAGGTGCAGTTTGTATTGTGCTTTGACTGGGATGGTAGCCCTGCGCACAGCAGGCAATATGCTGACACACCCGCCGTCCCTTTCAAAAAACAGGACAAAGTGCTCGCGGGCCTCACGGTCATGACTCCAGACGTTGCCCAAAAGTGTATGGTGTGCTCTTTTTGACAGGGATGGTGGGGGGGACCCGCATCAGATTGGTTGCGCGCTCCGAATTCGGAGGCCCAGCGTGTTTCGCATTGTTTTGTTGACACGGATGGTGGGGGGGTGAGCATGGTGTCCTAATGTTCCTGGTTGGCTGCTGGTCGCCTGGAGGAGGGGGGGTATATTAATAGGGAGCAGTGATAAACCCCTCCCTGAAGGGGAAGAAGGGGGGTGGAAGAGGAGCCTCCGTAGACCACCTACGCCCAGAGAGCTGGTGGCATTGATACCGTCCCAGCCCAGCCGGTATTGACCCCCCCACCATCTTTTGTGCAAAAAGCATTATGTGCACACACGTTGATCAAAAGTAATAAGTTTTCAAGATCCCCTTCAAAAAAGGGGACGAAAGACACGCGCGCGTCGTCGCGCGCACATGCCGAAATCTGTCAAGAAACGGTGGGTTTAGTAAGGAGTTCAACAGCAGGTGTCCCGAAATCGTTTAAAACATTAGTTTTGCAACAGCCGTGTTCGCAAACATGCTCGCGCTCTCGCGAATTCCTGAGACAACCTTCAGATGTTTTCATGGTGAACATCAAATTCAACCAAACGGGCTTCTCGCACGCGCATGTCGAAATCATTCGAACGCCCTTGTGCGCGTGCTGGGGGAGCACGATCCCTGTCAAATAATACCATGCGGGTCTCTCGCGCGCGTCAGCCGTGCGCGCATGTCGAAATCTTCCCAAAACCTTCATCACCGACGCGAGGACACCATCGGCAAGATCAGCATCGGCGCCGTCACTTGGCCTGGCCGTCATCATCGTCACCATCATCGCTACTGTCATCATCGCGTCTGCCGTTGCCGACGTCGCCAAGATACCGCGCCCGCCCACGTCACTGATTCGCACGGGAGTGCCCGCGCGTCAGCGCGGCCTGCGAGACGCGCTGTAAGTGCCCAGCGGTCAGCGATCGCAATCGCCGCCGCATGGGTTTTGCAACTTGGTCGCGCAACTTATCTTGCACCGCCTATACCCCACAGCATACATGCCTCCACACCTTTCGCACACCATTCGCCAGCAACACGCCGTTTGGGGCCCACGCTGGCTAAAACTTGGCTGAGGAATTGAGTGGGTAACCTCAGGTTTCTGTTAGTGGCCGGCCCTGGGCAGCCCGCAGCAGCCCCGTGGCCGCCTCGCGGGCCCCCCGTGGCCGCCCATGGCCGCTCGCAGGGGGCTCCGTCGAGGTTTCGCCGCGTCGCCGCTTCGTTGCCGCCTCGTTGCCGCCCACTTGGTGGGGTCCGTCGAGGTTTCTCCGCGTCGCCGCTTCGTTACCGCCCTCTCGGGAGGGTCCGTCGAGGCGTGGCCGCGTCGCCTCCCGTTGTCGCCCGCTTGTGGGGGTCCGTCGAGGTCTCGCCGCCCCGTTGCCGCCCACTTGCTGGGGTCCGTCGAGGTTTCGCCGCGTCGCCGCTTCGTTGCCGCCACGTCTTCGCTCACTTTGGGGGGTCCGTCAAGATCTCGCCGTGTCGCAGCCCACTGCCGCCTCGGTGCCGCCTCGTTGCCGCTCACTTGGGGGGGTTCGGCCAGGTCTCGCCGCGTTGCCGCCGGGTGCCGCCTCGGTGCCGCCCCCTTGTGTGGGTCCGTCGAAGCTTCGCAGTGTCGCCGCCGGTTGCCGCCTCGGTGCCGCTCTGTTGCCGCTGCGTCGCCGCCCGTTGCCGCCTCGTTGCCGCCCACCTGGGGGGGTCCGTCCAGGTCTCACCGCGTCACCGCCCGTGCCGCCTCGGTGCCGCCCATTCGAGGGGGTCCGTCCAGATCTCGCCGCACGTTGCAGCCTCGTTGCCGCCCACCGCGCTTGGGCGACCTGTCGGGGTTGCACCACATAGTTTACACCACACAGCTTGCGCCACGTAGATTGCATCCCATTGCTTACACCTCCACAGTTTAATAACTTCCTGCTTCTGGTCCACGCTGAATATATACATATATATATATATATATATATATATATATGTGTATGCACATCGTCATTCGTCCTTTGAAAGGTGCTGCATGAGCTGCGCCACACGCGCTTCGACGAGAGCCGCTGGCGAGACGCTGGCGATTCGGAACGAGCGCCGGAAACGGTGACACCATAGCCTCGCGCGTCGACACGGCCGCTCCTCGGCGTCATGGTCCGCGCGAGTGCGAGTGGATAGTTCTCAGAGGGGCCTTCGCGAACATTGGAGCATTTCCAGAAGCCGAAGTCGCCCGCACAGTGCTATGCGCTGCAGCCGAGGCACCTCCATCGAAGCGGCCGTCAAGGGAATGAGGCCCTTCGTGAGGGTTCGGTCACGCGTTGCCTTGCAGCTGACAGCTCGCAGCCCAGGGACCGTCTAGGTTCGAGGGTCAGCTGGGGCCACTAGGGCGGCTTGGAGGCCAACCGCAACTCAGAGAGTTCGTTGCGTCTCTGCTTATGTTCCCTCTTTTGACGCCTCTTGCCATCGTCCTCATCGATCGTCTTCGGCCTGGTTTCTCCGGACATTGCAAGTTCAGCTGCCGCAGGTGGCTAACAACTTGTTGAAGCCTTCCGCCATGCATTTTAGTTTCCGTTTTTGTTTGTGGTTGCACCTGTGCATTCGCATGTCTGTACATGTCTGTTTGTCTTGCGCTCTCTACGTCTGTCCATGTGTCCCGTGTCCCTGTCTGTCTCTGGATGTCGTTGCCAAAATGTGTTTGTTCGCCTGTCTATCGTTATGTCTGCCCTCCTGTATGGCTGGCTCCGATTGGTTACATGCCTGTCTGCCAGTCTCCTTATATGTCTGGTTTCCCATCCGCCTCTTCAAGTACTTGTTGCTGTCTGTCTGTATTTGTCTCTGGCTGTCTGTGTCTTTGACTGCTGGCCTTTTTCTGTCCATCTACCTCTGACTGACAGGTCTGCGCATAGGCTGTACACAGGCCTACCTGCAGCCTACCATAGGTCTACTGCAGGCCTGTGCATAGGCCTGTCGCGGGCCTGCACACACCCTACCGATAGGCCTACCACATGCCTCTACACAGGCTCCGCGTAGGCCTATCACAGGCCTGTGCACATCCCACAGATCTGTGATGGGTCTGTGCACAGGCTGTGCATAGGTCTGTCGCCGCTGTGCTCAAGCAGAGTATACTCGCGCGCTGTGCTCAGGCAGATTAGAGACCTGTGCACACCCTGTGCATAAGCCGATGTATAGGCCTATGGTGGTTTGTGCACAGCCTATCGATAGGCCTGTCAAAGGCCAATGCACAGCCTGTCGATAGGCCTACGACAGGGCTATGCATAGCCTATCGGAAGGCCTATCATAGGCCTATCGATCGGCCTTCTCAGGGCCTGTGCGCATGGTCCGTCATAGGCCTATGCATAGGCTATGCACAGGCCTATGATAGGCCGGTGCACAGGCTACGCATAGTGGATTGTTATCTAGGGCCACTGGTGTGCCTGCCCGCGGCCGCTCAGCTTGCGCCGAGGAGCCGCACGTCCCAGCTGCCCAGGATGTCCCTGACTGACTGTCTGTCCGTCCGTCGCCCTGCCTACCTTTAGGTCGGGCATATCCTCCTACAGGCGGATTTTGGAAGAAAAATGAAAATAGTCAGAAATATTCAGAAATAGTCGAAAGAATAGTCGAAAGATCGTCCCCTGAATATTGTTTCTATTTTTGAATATTCCTCCTGTAGAGGGACATGCCCGATTTAAGTCTACCTGTCTAGCTATATCTATGAGGGTGACACCCCCTGCCGCCAGCCCCCCAAGCTGGGTGGTCTTGTGGCTATAGTGGAACAGCTCTGGGCCATCATGGGGCCCCTCGGGGACATTGAGGCCATCTTGGGCAATTTTGGACCTATCTTTCAGTCGGCCACGTCCCTCCACAGGAGGAATATTCAAGAATAGTCCGAAACTAGTATGGGGACGACGTTTCAATTGTGGTTCGACTACTTTTGCATATTGTTGACTATGTTTCACTCTGTCTTCCAAAATCCGCCTGTAGGAGGACATGCCCGACCAAAAGCTATCTTGAGGCATGTGGAGCCCATCGTGGAGCCCGTATTGGGCCATCCTGGGTGATGTGGGCGGCATCTTGGAGTCTTTTGGAACCACCTTGTGGCCGTCTTAGGCAACATCGGGGGCTCCGGGGGCCGTCTCGAAGGAATATTAGAACATCTTGGGAGCAAAAAATCTGGAACAGGCAAGAAGCATGGAAGACACTGTAGTGCTTCAGTATTTTTTGCCATCTCGAGGGCGTCTTGGGGCTCTCCTGAGCCATTTGAGGTCCATCTTCGGCCATCTTGGGCTCTTGAAGCCCTCTTCGAAGCTTCTGGGGCCCTCTTCGAGGCATCTTGGGCCCTCCTGGCCGCGCGGTGACGTCCTCATGTGATTACTGGGGCAACCTAGAGCGGCAAGGCGTTCGAGGGGCACCCCTCCCCGGGCGGACGTCTGCCCAGGATTGCCCTCTTGAGAACCGCTCCAGATACGAGGGCTGGCGGTCGGCTCGTGTGGTGTTCCAGATTGTTTGGCGATCTTTCGGCTCGCACAGCGGACTCGGCCGAGACAGGTGAAGTTCAACGGTCGCGTTCCATTCTTCCTCCTCCTCCAAGACAGCATAAACACAGGACTGGACATTCAAGAGACAGAACGCGAAGGAAACACAAGTAGCGCAAGACAGCAGTCCAGCAGAAGCCCGCACAACCTGCCGCCCCCACGGGGGCCGGCGGAATTGCTCTTCTTGTCTATGTGTCCAGCCGTCCTTTGGTCCATTTGTCTACTGCGCGATCTCGTTTTGTAACTTGTTTGGTTTCTACTGTTGAGCAGCCCGCCCGGGACGTCCTTCCGTGGCCGCCCCCAGCTCGAGCAGGACCCGCGCGGCCCAGGCAGGTGCTGTGCCTGGTGCCATGGCGGAGCCCTCGCCGGTGGCTGCCGCGGAGGCATTGGACAGACACCAGGTGGCCACACCGGTGGGCGAGGTGGAGGCCCGGGTCTCGAACCGTCTTGCTCTGGCTGTTTCTAGTCCTGCTCCTCCTCCACCTCCTCCTGGTCTGAGCCCCTGGTCCTAACTCCTCTCCCATACTCTCTCCTCGTCTCTGTCTTTGTCCTCGGGCCAGCCTGCCTTTGCTGCTCATCTACCTCCCCCTTCGAGCTCTTCTCCTCTCCCTTTCTTCCTTCTTCTGGTCCCCCATCTTCCTCCTCGACCCAGCTTGACTTGGCGGAGGCGGGGAATATCGTTTACTACGTTTCCATTTAGGGCCGCTTCCTCGGCACAATTGGTTAGTTGTTGTGTCGCATGTAGCTTCCAGTCTAGATCATTCCTCGTAGGTCACCGTCGTTATGTATAGTAGAGGTGGGTGGCAGCCGTTACCGTTATTGATCCCGCCTCCTTCGTCAGGCCAGCTCCAGTCTCTGACCCTTCTCCCTCAACCAGGAATGCACAGAAGGGTCCTTGTCGTCTACTCGGCAGCGGTCCCGGCTTCCGCGCGGTCTACTGCCGGGAGCCGCATAGCAAGAGTGGCAGCAAAACGAATTGCAGCAGCGATTCCAGAATAGTTGCGGTTGTAGTCCAATATTGTTTTGTTGGAGGTATAGTTGCTTGTGTAGTCCGATCATGTTTTGTTGGAGGTGCGGTTGATTTGGCATCGCTCGGACGTGTGCATTTTTCTCGGCGAGGACCATCGAGAAGCATCCTGGATCATCTTGGAAAACGCGCACGGAATCGAAAATTGCACGGGGAATGGACGTCCGAGCGATGGCAAGCTGATTGGCTGACTGAGATGGCTGACTGGTCGCGCCCGTCAGCAGGCCACTTTTGCCAGGAGGGCGAGGGCGCAACTTACATGGAGCAGCCAACGGCAGGCCGTCTCGTGTTCGGCGGCCGAGGGCACGTCCGATTGAGCAACCGATTTCGGGCCGTTGTATTTTGGGCGGCCGAGGGCGCAACTTACAGTCGGACCGAGGTGTAAGATCGTGGTCGGTTCGGGGAGGGTACCCTAATGTTGTTCGCGTTTGTTGGATGTTCTTTTGCATCCTAGGGAGGATATCCTTGGGTGTTTGTGTATTTTGGCCCGCGGAGGGTCTCGTGTTCTTGAAGGACGTTTTTTTCTGTAGGTCCGACTGCACGACACGACCCATGACGCAACAAGTGGCGCAACCCATGAACAGCGCAACATGCGGCGCAGCCCACGGTGAAACTTCTGGCGCAGACCATGGACAGCGCAACCCATGGCGCCATGTGTGGCCCCCCACAGTGGGTGCAATGAAATGGTGCGGCCCATTTATTCGAAGAAGAAGAAGAAGAAGAGGAAGAAAGGCAGTAAACAAAAACTTGTGGCGCTGCACACGTATTTCTTGGATCCGCGCTGAGCCCCCCCGGCGACGCCTCCAGCGCCGCCCCTGGCGCGCTCCGCGAGCAAGGGAGGGGGATCCAGCGCAGATCCGAGAAATCCGCGCGGATCGCCAAAAGCTCATGTTTATGACAGTTGCTCTTCTTCTTATGGATGGGCGCTGGCGTAGCAGGGCCACCGTGGCGCCCCCGCAGCGGACCTCTCGGAACGTGCGCCCCGTCAGGGGAGCTGTGCAGCGCTGCGCTGGGCGAGTAAGTGTATGGGTCTGACCCACGGGTCAGCACAACATGAGTCACGCGCCCATGCGTCGCGTATCACACAGCACAAATCAATATTCCTCCAGCGTGCACGGAGCAGAGTTGGTCAGGGCTGGCCCGCCCACTCATCCTGAACTGGGGCACCTGGCGCTCGTGGCGCGAGAAACGCGGTCAACTTATTGCTGGTGGCGAAACCCAAAATGGCGTTCGAGAGTGCCTTCGCGGGATCGGGGAATGTTGTAAAGTCCCCAAGATAATAACCTTGCTGCCTGCGGCAAACCCCGCCATCGTGCCAGCGCAGCAGCGCATGCTCGAAGAAGAAAACATAAACTGTTGGCGCTCCGCGCGAATTTCTTGGATCCGCGGTGGGCCCCCCCGACGCCGGGAGGGGAATCCAGTGCAGATCCAAGAGATCCACGCGGAGCGCCAAAAGTTCATGTTTACGTCGTTTGGTTTCTTCTTCTACATGTTGGAGGATGTGAAGTTCAAGACCTGGACCGATTCACCGCCCGGTCTGAGCTCACGTGGCTCTTCAAGTCGGCGTCGTTCCCTCAGTCGTGGGGCCGTCTTGGAACCTTCTTGGGCCATCTTGAACGGCTCTCGGGCAGCAGTGGGGCCATGTGGGTGTTCTCTGGGTGTAGTTTCGAACCGCCATCATCATCATTATCAGCATCAGCATCAGCATCAGCATCATCAGCAGCAGCATCAGCATCATCATCATCACCATCAGCAGCAGCAGCAACTGCATCTGCATCTGCAGCAGCATCATCTTCATTATCATCATCAGCAGCATCATCATCCGTATCAGCAGCAGCATCAGCCTCAGCAGCAGCAGCGTTGTTATCGCAAGCATTAACAACATCAACGTCGTCATGATCTTACTCATCGTCTTCACAGCAATCACCTCCATAAACACCATCACCATGAGAATCGTCGTCATCCTCATCATCCTCATCAGCAGCAGCATCATCATCGTCATCGTCATCGTCATCGTCATCAGCACCAGCATCATCACCATCATCCTGATCATTCGTATCAGTATTGTTCTCACCATCACCTACACCATCACCATCACCGTCACCATCACCAACACCGTCGTCATCCCACAACCCGTGTGGCTTCGGTGAGGCGCCTGCCTGCCTTCGCTCCTCACCGCTCCAGCCAGCGCTGGCGAGCGCTGCGCCCGTCTCCGCTTCGGGCCGCCCCAACATGGCGAGCGGCAGCGCGCGACGGGATGCCTGCGCCCTCCCCGCGGTGAGGGCCCTGGCGGTCCTCGCGGCCGCGGGCGTCGCTGGGGACGCGGGCTGCAGGGCGCGCGCGCCGCGCGCCGAGCGGGCGCCGTGGGAGGCCTGCGCGATGTTCCTGCAGGTGGGGAGCCAGGTCCGCATCCGCACGGGCGACGCCAGCGCGCCGTGGGCGAGCGAGGCGGCCGGGCCACCCGCCGCGGCCGTGCCGCCGAGGATGCAGTACTGGAAGCGCTGGGACCCCGTGCGGCTGGCAGAGGGCTCGGCGGAAGAGGGGTCCCAGAGGTTCCTGCTCTTCGACATGGATCTGGGGGGGCTGAACAACCTGCGCATCGGGTGGGAGGTCGCTGCCACCCTTGCCCACGAGACGGGCAGGACGCTGGTGCTGCCCCCGCCCAAGAGCGTCTACCTCATTGACAGTGGGCCCGAGTACGTGCGGTATCCAGAGCCTGGCCACAAGTCCAGGATCGAGGACTTCATCAACATGGAGCAGCTGCAGAAAGGGAGCCTCAGAGCGCTGACGGTAAAGGAGTTTGCAGACGGGCAAATGGGAGAGAACACGACGGAGACTCAGGCGGAGCTCTTCTGGGTCGAGACCGCGCGGTCCAAAGCGCGGAGTGTACATGGGAACACTTCGGTGCTTTGCGACCTCTCACATTGGGATGCAGAGGACAAGTTCATTTACGCCCACATGGTGTCCGACACCGACGGCCGCATCTTCGGATGTAGCAAGTGGTGGAGCCTCGGCACGGCGCAGCTCAAGAGGGACGGCGAGCCATGGACGCCTTCCCTACAGGCCGTGTCGATGCTCCACGGGGGCTTCGTGTGGCACCAGGACGTGTTCAATATGGCCTCGCTCATAGTGCAAGACCTCGGCATGTACAAGTATGCCTCGCTCCACGCACGCTACGGGGACTTCCAGTTCGAGGACAGCAAGGAGCCTGCTGGCGCCATCATCAGCACGTGGTTCACGTCCGACCTGGGGCGCCGGCTGATGAAGAATACGACAGGCGTCTACGTCTCCACGGACGACACCAGCGGCAGGCTTGCGGCAGAAATCTGTTCTTCCCGCGAGCCGCGGGGATGGCAGATCCCAACCTGCCCCTACCATCCCATCCTCCTCGCCTCACTCTCCGTCCCTGGCATCCTCCCCTCCCGCTCCCAATCCCCCCACTCCCATCCTCCCAGCCCCCGCGCCTCCTCCCCCCCCCATCCCGTCCCCCCATGCCCCATCCTCCCAATCGCCGCACTTCCTATAGTCAAAATTGATAGTAAGGATGATCGACTTTCCAAGGGTGCCCTTGCATCCTTGCCTCTTCGGTCATCTTCGCTCCATTCTCAACCACTTTCGATGGCCCGTCGCGTCCGAAACGCTTCGACATGGGCGTCCAAGGCCCTTGCATCCTTGTGGCGCATCCTTACTATCTGTTTTGACTGTATTTTCCCGTCCTCCCCCTCCCCCCCCCTCCTCCTGCACCAGTTTCCCCCTCCCCACCCAACTTCTGCCCCTCCTCCCTCCTCCCCACCCAACTCCCTCTCCTCCCTTCTCCCCACCCCCTCCTCCTGCACCACGTCCTACTCTCCCTTCCTTCCCC